ACGGGTCCTTAACAATATCAGTCATATTCATTCCATGACTTCCTTCTTTCCTTCTGTTCCCATATTGCAGAGCCTTCCACCAAGAGTGTTTGGATGTGTTGCCTTTGTCCATGTTCATAAACAATATCGGAGTAAGTTGGATCCTAGGGCTCTTAAGTGTGTCTTCCTTGGTTATAACCCTTATAAAAAAGGGTACAAGTGTTATCATCCACCAAGTCAGAAATTTTTTGTTTCTATGGATGTCACATTTCAAGAATCTGAATCTTATTTCCTGGGTCCTCATCGTCAGGGGGAGAATAGTTCTTCAGAAGACTCGTCCCCTTCCTTCTGAGTCTGGATCAATCTTCTCTCTTCCTAGTGTGTCTGCTCCTGGTGTGTCAGAACCTTCAAATACACCTGAGATACAACCCATACTGTCTCACCAGCAACCTCAATCGTCTGAACCACTGGTAAGTCCTGAATCTCCTATTTCTTCTGAGTCTCCTGAATCTCCTGTTTCTGATTCTAATATTATTTCCTCTCATGATTTGTCTATTTCTTCTGATATCTCTAATGACTTACCCATTGCTTCTACTTCTGATGACTTACCTATTGCTCTTAGAAAATGAAAAAGATCTTGTCACAAGAAAACTTGTTCCTCTTGTCCCTCTTGTACTCAATACCCTATCTCCCACTGTGTTTCCTCTGCTAATCTTTCTGTGCAGCACAAAAGCTTTGTTTCAGCACTAGATTCTATTGCAATCCCAAAATCAGTACATGAAGCCTTGAAAGATAGGAATTGGGCTCAAGCCATGCAAGAGGAGATGAATGCTTTGGAGAAAAATAAAACATGGGAGGTTATTGATAGACCCAACGGAAAGAAAGCAGTAGGGTGCATATGGGTTTATGCCCTGAAATATAATTCTGATGGCACTCTTGAGAGATATAAGGCTCGATTAGTGGCCAAAGGTTACACTCAAACCTATGACATTGATTATGAAGAAACCTTTGCTCCAGTTGCAAAGATGAATACAGTGAGAATCTTGTTATCCCTTGCTGCCCATTACAATTGGGATATAAATCAATTTGATGTGAAAAATGTTTTCCTCAATGGTGAGTTAGAAGAAGAAGTCTACATGGAAATCCCGCCTGGTTTTGATTCTGTGAAGGGGGAAAATAAAGTTTGTAGATTAAAAAAGGCCTTGTATGGATTGAAGCAGTCACCTCGTGCTTGGTTTGGAAGATTTACTAAGGTTATGATGACTTTGGGATACAGACAGAGCCAAGGAGATCACACTCTTTTCTTCAAGCACTCCCAAAATGGGAAGCTTACTGTGCTCCTTGTATATGTTGATGATATTATTATCACAGGTGATGATTTTGTGGAGAGACAGATTCTGCAAACACGGCTTGCCTCTGAGTTTGAAATCAAAGACCTTGGGAAACTGAGATATTTCCTAGGGATAGAAGTAGCTCATTCAAGCAAAGGAATTTTTATCAGCCAGAGGAAATATGTTCTTGATCTTCTCAAAGAAGCAGGAAAGCTCGGGTGTAAACCCTCTAATACTCCTATTGAGCAGAATCACAAGATGGGCTATGAAGAAGAGAGTCCTCCAGTTGATAAAGGACAATATCAACGGCTAGTTGGGAAATTGATATATTTGGCCCATACTAGACCAGACCTAGCTTATGTTGTTAGTGTTGTCAGTCAGTTTATGCACGATCCAAAAGAAAAACACATGCAGGCAGTAGAGAGAATTCTTCAGTATCTTAAAGGTACTCCTGGTAAAGGATTGTTATTCCGACGTGATGGCAATCTATCTTTAGAAGTCTACACATATGCTGATTATGCTGGATCCGTGATTGACCGTCGTTCTACCACTGGTTATTGCATGTTTCTTTGCGGTAACTTGGTGACATGGAGAAGTAAGAAACAAGATGCGGTTGCCAGATCAAGTGCATAAGCTGAATTTCGAGCTATGGCTCAAGGCATTTGTGAGTTACTGTGGCTGAAAATTGTACTTGATGATCTCAAAATAAAATGTGAGGGACCTATGAAGCTGCTATGTGATAATAAGTCCGCTATTTGTATAGCTCATAATCCAGTCCAACATGATCGGACTAAACATATTGAGGTTGACCGCCATTTCATCAAAGAGAAACTTGATAGCGGGTTGATTACCACTCCATACATTCCCACTGGGCGTCAATTAGCTGATCTATTAACAAATGGGCTTCCTTCAGACAGATTTCAAGAACTTACTAGCAAGCTGGGAATGATAAATATCTATTCCTCAGCTTGAGGGGGAGTGTTGTAAATAATAATTATTTAGTTATTATTTAGTTATTATTTAGTCATTTATTTGTTGTATTGGACCAAGCCCATTAGGTTAAAATTAGGTCAAATATTTTCTATAAATAGAGAACCCTTTTGTACAGATTATTTACAATTCTATAATATATTAGAATACCCTTTTTCAAGTCAACATCATCGCAAGTGACATAAAACACCACAATTAACACTATTGTGGCTTCCCGTAATCACCTCTCAGAACCAAAATAATCACCGAAATTCTTTCGCTTTTCCAGTTGAGAACCTTCAAATATCTTATTATCTCACTCTCAACATGTTAGAATTCTTGTCCTTGTCTATGGTCTCATTTATTTCTCTCATTTTACATAGTGGTGTTATTTGATCCAATAAGGATGTTTACATCTTTAAATGGATTTTCTTTTGTTACGGTAATGCAAAATAATCGAATCCAATTATATTTTTCTGAACCAATTTTAAGAATTAGAACAAGTTTTATGAACCAGTTTAAAAAACTCATGCCGAACCAAAAGAATCGATTTACATATCTGAACTAGTTTTGAACTGGTAATAAATTATGAATTAATTTAAAATCATGAACTAATTTAGAAATATGAACTAATTCTGAATTGATTTAGAAAAAATAAAACTGATTCATATTAGATAAATCAGCTCGATTCGATTTAAATAGTTCGATTCGATTCAAAAAATAACAATAATAATAATAACAAAGGATATGATATTGTAACAACCAATTAGTGTTACTACCAATTAGTGTTACTACTAATTAATTTCACCGTTAGATCAATTATGTTCATCCAATGGTTATATTTATTTCCACCTTTATATGATCATGATTTCCTATATTTAATGTGAAAGCATTAAATATGAGAAATCATAACCATACAAAGGTGAAAATAAATATAAAGTATTAAATATGGAAAATCATAACCCTACAAAGATGAAAATAAATATAATCGTTAGATCAATATAATCGATTTAACGGTAAAATTAATTTATAGTAATACTAGTTGATTGTTACAATATCCTTCCCCTAATAATAGTTCGGTTCACCATGCGCATCCTTACCTTTTGTCTTGGATGTCCATCTAAACTATAATTAACTTCTTAAAGTATTTTTTAGAAATACAACATAGGTCAAATGATTTTTATATTTTAAAATATTTGTTTGATTAACTTTTTTAGTTTTATTTAAATTTAAAAATACTAGTATATAGTTGTTCTTAGGGGTGATAAACGAGCCAGGGGTCTTTGGCTCGGCTCGTGAAGGCCTGAGCTTACATGCCTAATATTGGTTGTTGGAACCAGGCTTGGACTTTTATAAAAGCTCGTTTAGTAAAAAGGCCTCAGACTCAAATTCAAAAGCTCGGCTTTGGAGCCTCTCAAGCTGGCCTAATATATTAATTTTTATTTTTATTTATATTTTTTATACTATTTGTAATATCCCTCTCTCTCCTCTCAATCCATTTCACCCCTATTTTATTAGTTAAACAGACTTTTTGAATGATTTTGTTCTATATTATGCTGTTTGGATATACATTGAATTTATGAATATTTATGGAATTACTAGTGTTGTTGATTGTATATTCTGTTTGGATAAATTTTTGTTGTCTTATTTTTTTAACAGATTAAATCAGGCTTTTATTTTTTGTAAATAAGGCAGGCCACACGCCGATAATAATATTCATAACAAGTAACAGGCTTGGTAAGGCCGACACATTTAAACACAGACTTAGCCTTTTAAGACCAAAGCTCAGCTCGGCTCGGCCCGTTAACACTCCTAGTTGTTCTGATACCGACTTGGATTAATTGAGTTCCTCACAGTTTTCTGGACATCCCCTAGTTATAACAAAAGCAAAATTATAATATGTTTGTGTATTCCTATTTCCCGAGTGTATTATTTTCTTAATATTAAGATGAGGAAGGACATTGTAATAATCAAGTTGTGTTATTATCATGTTACTACTAACCAATCTCACCGTTAGATCGATTATGTTGATATAACGGTTATATTTATTTTCATCTTTGTATGGTCATGATTTCTCAAATTTAATATTTTATATTTATTTTCACCTTTGTATGATTATGATTTTTCATATTTAATGCTTTCACTTTAAATATGAGAAATCATAATCATACAAAGATGAAAATAAATATAACCGTTGGATCAACATAATCGATCTAATAGTGAAATTGATTGATAATAATATAGTAGTAACATAACTTGGTTGTCGTGGCGCTGTTGGATGCTTCTGATCAATAGAACAGCAAGAGGAGGAAAAAAAAGCTTATGATGAGCATCTATTTGAGTCGATCATTTCCAAGATCTAATTCAAGTTTATTCTTATGTAGTGGAAAGGCCTTACAATCTGAAGTTTTACGCTTAGGGGAAGAAATGTTCTTGGTGGATGCAGGACCTGGGACCCCCAGAATTTGTATGCAAGATGAGCCTACAGGAGTGCCAATCAACCATTGATTTTCTACATCTAACGGTTAAGATTTATTAGGTCTCACTCATTAATTAATTTTTAATTTTCAATAAATCTCAACCGTTCGATGCACAGAAATCAACGGTTATGATTTGGTTTGTTACAATATTATTGTTATAGTTAAAATAGCTCACTTAACATGATGTCCTTAACTATTTATCTATTCAAAAGGAACAATAATTTATTGTACTTACAATAACAAAAGGTTTTTTTAAACCCTGAATAGGAGACACATTAAACTCTCCAACACCAAACTCTAGCCGCCGTCAGTGGCGGTGTCTTGTTCATGCTTGGATACACCTGCGGCGAATCGTCGGTGGCGGTGACTCTGAATCCAGGTCAGTATTCTTCTTCTTTAGAACCTTAAATTCTCTCTCCTAAATTCCTTTGAACTAATCCAAATCCGGTATTTGAAGAAAACACGCTCTGACAAATACTAAAGGGCACTCGCTCGTCTTTTTCCCCCTGTTAGGGTTTATTGGTAAATATGCATAGTTCCTCTTCCATTTTTGTGCTTGACTTGGTTTTCCTGAGACTGAACACACGCCTCTTTGGTTATTGAGTGTTGATGAGTCGCATGTTTCATATAAACTTCTTCATATGTGATTGACGATTGCCGTTGTGCTTGAACCTGAATGTTAAGGCTTTAAAGTCAAGTTTACTGGAAGAATATACTATTCTAGAGTTATGTGAGAGGCCTGGCATTTTGGTTACTGTTAGAGATATAATAAAACTGTACTTGTGCCTTAACAGTTCACCCTAACTGTTTAAGCTCTTGGGAGAGGCGGAGAGCTGATTTATGACTACAAGTTGTTTGATATAGTCCATTCATTGGTATATGGTCAATTGCTTACAAGTTGTTTGATATAATTCCTGAATGGAAAGACTCTTTGATGGCTACTTGATAAAGGGTGATTGGTTTTGAGATTGTTTTTTATTTATGTTCTTTTATGGTTGTCAAAGTGTGCCAAACAGGCAAATACGATAATGTTAAAATTTTACTTTAGAGCTTATGCTGATTTCTAGCCTACTTGCTCTTTTTCTTTTTGGCTGAGGTCCATTTTTTTTTTAATAAGGATTCATAAATCATCTACGGGAACTCCTCTTTGAGTATCTTGTACCAATTTGCTGCTTGCTGAATTTTTTTTTTCTTTTGAGAAATTATGGCATGAAGTCTTGGATTTTTTGATATGTCAACATGTATGTCATGGAAGCTATTGTAAAATTGCTCTTAAATTTGGGAATTCCTTTGTTTAAGTTACTAGTATGTTTCTTTCATGTATTTGAGCTGTGCTAGAGTTGATTTGGTTAGGTGGTTATATGTATAAAGTCACATGCTGAACCTCATTTTCGAATTATGTTTGTTTTGGCAGCAGTCATGGTTCTATGCATATTTTTCAGATTTTATCTGAATTAATATATTTTTATATTTTAGATTTTTTAATCATTTTTTTTTTTAAATTTAAAAATGCTACTGCAGTTGAATGAAAGAACCACTAGTCATTATAAAGCATGAAAGAAGACGACTACATGGGATGTCAATCTATCCTTTCATGTCACTTTTTAACATTATCATATCATATGAAAAATCTTATTCATTCATCAATAAATCAACGGTCTGCAATTAAGATGACCATTAAAATTGTGATTGATAACACAATGAATGATTGTTATTTTTCACATGAGAGACAATGAGGATCCAAGGAATAGACCCTCTAATGTGACATGAGGTCATAAAAGAATCTCAACCATCCTCAATACTCATCCTTTTCTCACCCTTAATCTTAATGTATATGGAACTAAAAATAAATGCTTATTAAGCCTATTAGTGCAAAACCGTGTAGAGATATTAGTGAGTTGTTGTCCACATTAGTGTTGGTGTAGGGTTTTGCATTTAGCTTCATCTTTCTACACTCACTTCACGCTTCAAACTAGCGCCTCTAATTCTGAGCTCTTAATAGTGCATTTTCAGTTACCACTGATACTTCATTATGTCACCCAAATATTTTCACCCTATCTAACGACATGATACAATACATCACTGTATGATATTTCACTTGTTTCAGTTAAATTTGTTCGTGGGATGGCTTATTCTCGCGGGCGTGATTTCTCGTTCTGTCATTTGTGCGGGACAATGCTCACAGTCCCTTCAATTGAGTACGCAGAGTGCCCCTTGTGCAAAACTAGGCGAAACATAAAAGGTAAAAACCCTTAATTTTGTTTTTTGGTTTTTTGCTCCTATTGTTTGCTTTTGAAATAATTTACCTAAATTTCTAGTTGGTGACAAATAGGCTACACAGTATAAATGAAAAAGAAAATTGGGTGTGCAGGGATGTGTTTGGTAAAATGTCTCTGCTTTTTATTGCTTTTGATTTTACAAGATGCCTGCTATGGTGTTTTTATGTTAATAATAAAAATATGACGTAATATTTATATATTTATTTTGATATTTTGCTAGTATTCCATTGGTGTAGTGGTGTAAGTAACAGCATTGTGTTGCTTTCTGTGTCCTATGTGAGGCTCTCAAAATAAAGATACATTACATGAAGGTTAATTCATGATTCATCCATCAGACTTTGGAAGACATGGAGTGGAATTTGCAGAACCAACTTCTAGAGTGATGGGTGCGAGAATGTGTCTGTTACTGTGCTTGCATATTTATTGTAATTTTTATTGTGTATGGGTTTATTGAGCTCTAGTGAACTTGTACCTTTTGTAATTAGAAATGCTATAAATATAACTTTCTTCTGTTGATGTTTTATGCATCCTAACTGAATGTCCTTATTTTTAGATATTAAGGGAAAGGAAATAAGTTACACGATTTCTGCTGAGGTATGCTTCAGATTAGCAACAGGTCATATTTTTATTGATTTGTTTAAATATATTATTTCTATAGCGTAAAATATGATGCATTATATGGAAGTGTTCCTCCCCTTGGGCTTATAGCTCTTATGGTTGGTAGAGTGGAGGTTTGGGTAGAGGGTGTATATGTTCAACGTCCAGCGTATTTAAAGAAAATTGAATATGTCCACATCCAATATGACTTTGACACATATGAATCACAAATCCATGATAAACTGATAGGTTTATTTTTTTATATATATCTTTTTAGTTTTTTGGTATATGCAAGTAAATGAAAGGTTTAGATACCTTGATTTACTCCGAGTCTGGGTGGGAATTGGTAAGAATACCGCTGCTTCAGGAGTATAAAATATTTTATAATGATAGGTTTATTTTTTTATATATATCTTTTAAATTTTTTGGGTATATGCAAGTAAATGAAGGGTTTAGATACCTTGATTTAATCTCAGTCTGGTTGGGAATTGGTGAGAAGACCATCACTGCAAGAGTATAAAATATTTTAGCCTTTTTGAAATCTGGACCTAGGATTTGATGTCAATATAGCAAAATTTGTAATGTCATCCTAAGCATGAACATATTCACTTTATATAGAGTATTGGCAGATATTCCTTATGTATGCTTGTGGTTGGCAGGATATCAGAAGAGAGCTTGGAATCAATATAATTGATGAACAGAAAGTGCAATTGTCTAAGGTAATAATGCATCCTGAAATAACTATTAATGGCATGATATTTAAGCAGATATTTGCATGTTTTAATGTTATTGTTTCTTGACAGGTTAACAAAAAATGTGAAAAATGTGGCCATGATGAAGCTAACTATTATACTAGACAGGTATTATTAGACTTTGTACTGAAGATTCACCAATTTAATTCTCATTTAGTTGTCCAAATTTATGGATTTGAATCTCTAATTTCAGATGAGATCAGCCGATGAAGGGCAAACTACTTTCTACACATGCACCCGCTGTGCTCATCAGTTTCAAGAGAATTAAGCTGGTACCGTGTATGAATGGATTCCCTGCACTTAGTTTTTTTTTTCCTTTGCTGATACCTGCCCCATATTTTCTACCAAACCTTGATAGCGAGAGAGAGCATTGTCTGTGCAAGTGCAAGTTGTGGAGTTGAAGTTTGGTTTCTTTATAGTTTGTATAATGAAAGATGTCTCGAAGATTCAAAATTTCTAGAATACTGAGCACTGAAAGAAACATAGAAAAAATGGTTTTTTTAAAATCTACAGTACATCTGCTAGCGGGCCTATTAGTTGCTTGATGTACAGACACTAACTTTTAATTCCCCCCCCTCCTCCCCTCTCAAATTTCAATTAATTTTCCTGCATTACTCAAGTATGGCAGTCTGGTGTTAGTAAACCAGTAGTGTGCTCATTTATCTACAAGTTTGTGTGTTGATGTTAATTCCCTTAAATTCATATTAATGTTGTGCTTGTTTTATTTTCTCTATCTGATGTCGTTCTACCTGAGTTTGTGTATGTTTGTTTTGTTATTTATGTCGTTCTTAGAAGATTTTCGTAATTAGTCTCAAATTTGATCTTAATTTGGAATCTCTTAAATTTGAGTACTTTAGGCTCAGGTATGGTTGATCAAAGTTTGAATCCGAAAACAGCTTGTTTGTTTATTCCTTTCTTAAACCCAGCTATATGAAACACTGGCTTGTGTCGATTGTCCTTTAAGGTATTGATAACACAAACCCTATTATATCAGTTATCCTAGACTAAAATATGAATCATATATTTTTACCTAATCAGTAAGCTATATGAGTACTTGTCTCCCCTTTTTTATTTATCCTGTTCTTCTGCTCAACTCTGTGAATTTTACCCCTAATTGGCAGTAGATATATATTAAAAAGAGTGTTTCTAATAACTTTTGTTCCTAAAAGAAGGGTTCAGCAAATTGACGGGGATTTTGTTTATAAGATGAGGATTTCTTTTTTCGCGTAGGGTTGAGAAGTGTGAACTTGCCCCTTTTTTTCTTTGGCTTGGGACATTGGGTGCAACTCTCTTCTCTTTTATTCTAAACATTATTCTGGATGCAGAATAAATTTTGTTCTTATTGGAAATTGATGTGCCTGGAATGGATTACTTATCAAGATTCCTTTTTATTTGTGTTTACTGTCTGTGTCTCTGTATTTTTGTGAAGATTGTAGCTGTGCGGATGATTGGATAATGGTACTGTACGATGTTGAATTAGAATGTAGTTGCAATGCAGTGTCAATTTTGTTTTTAATTGTCTGGCCGGTTTTTCTGCATATCGAAAACAGAATGCCAGAGGCGCCAAAAACACACTGGTAGGTAATTAACGGGGTGTTTCAGTAATTTTGTTTTTTATTATATTAAATAGGGAAAATTTCATTTTCACTCATTGTGATTTTGTGATTTATCATTTGATCACCCGTGGTTTTAAACTTATCACTTAGACTCATTATGCTTAAATAATTTATCATTTAACCCCTCTTGGTTTCATATTTTCACTTAGACTTCTTGTGGTTAAAAATATTTTCACTTAGATCTCTTGTTGTTTAAAAATAAAAATTTTAAAAAAGAAATTTTCTCTCTTTTTTATTTTATATCCTCGCCTAAAGCATTTAAGGTTTAAAAAATAAAAATAAATTCTAAAAAAATTCACTTATTTTTATCAAGAAAATAAATTCAAATCAAATATTTTTATTTTATCTATTTAAAGAAAGTAAATATCTTATTTTGATAGTACATATTTAATTTATCATAAATAATATTTTTTTTAATTTCATCTTAAATAATAGTTTTAATTTCAAATATATTTTTAAAATAAAAAAATTAAGATAATTTCTAAATTAATTTCAAAATAAATAACTTAAAATATTTTCCAAACCCTAAATGCATTACATGAGGATATAAAATAAAAAAGAGAGAAAATTTATTTTAAATATATTTTTAAAATGTTTATTTTTTAAACCACAAGGGGTTTAAGTGAAATTTTTTGTAATCACAAGGGGTCTAAGTAAAAATTTGAAACCATAGGGGGTTAAATGATAAATTATTTCAGCACATTGGGTCTAAGTGATAAATTTAAAACCACGGGGGTCAAATGATAAATCACAAAATCACAATGGGTGAAAATAAAGTTTTCCCTATTAATTTTATTAAAACATCACTCATTAATTCGCTTGACCTTCGAAATCACATAGTTTTAAGGTTGGATGATATAAGAGGAGAAGCGATAAAACTTATTTAAATATAGGGGACAGTTATACTTACCACTAGGAGTGAAAGTGGGCTGGGCTGGGCCAAGCTTTACCCCGAAAACCCAAGCCTACGCCAAAAAATTTTAAATTGGCCTGACCCAAGCATAGTACGAGTCTAATTGTTAGCCTAATTTGGCCCGTTTATAAAAAAAACAAATGGCTTGGCCTAACCCATTAGCCTGTTAATTTTTAACTTTCAAGCAAAATCATGAATCAACTTTACAAAACACTCAAATTCTGTTGCTAAACCAAAAATCACAATTTCAACGTCCAAACAGAATCATGAATCACAACAAAACTCATACAATTCGCATTTAAGTCATTTTCAAAAGCAAAATGCTCAAACTAAATAATATATATTTCATCAGGTCCAACAAACAAATCAATATTATGTAAATTAAAATAACTACATGAATCCAACAAACACATCATGATGCTTGTAGTAAGTATAACTTCTCCCAAAAACCTTCAATATATTCATATACACAATCTAACATGTTGAGATGTTGGTTCCTCCTATATTAGAAATAAAGTCAGATTTCTATTAAAATATAATCGAATATAATTAAGTTATAAATAATTACAATTGATTAAATTTATATCTATTATTTTTTCTTCAAGGCATATTTACTCTATTTTATTTTATTTAAAATAAATAGTACAATATAGGCTGGCCTGTAGGCTTATAGGCCAGACCTTGTGAAAGTGGGCCTACGGCCTTTTTATTAAACAAGCTTTTTCAAGGTCTAAGTCCGGTCTATTTTACGAAATATACTAGGTCAGGTCTGGCCTGACGTAGGCCGAGCCGTAGGCCCCTGTAGGTCGGCCCGACCCAGTTTCACCCCTACTTACCACCAGGTAAGTTTACTACCCTTACAATCAACTTTATCACAATTAGATTAGAATTAAATCTAACGGTTCATAATTATCCCCTTATAATACTAATTTTTACTTTCCCATCCCCTCCCTCTCTCTTTCTAGATTTCCGATCTGCATATCTCTCTCTAGGTTTGGGGAAGCTCAAGTGTCTGATTGATATGTTGATGGTGTTACTGAAAAATTGCAGATAAATATAAAAAAAAAAAAAAAATTGGATTACTAAAATTACTCAAATGTCTGACTTTAATGATCCTGTTATTAGTGTTTGATAGGAAAACATTAGTTTGAAACTTAATGTTACGTCATTGCAATCTTTCGTCGTATGACAAATTGATTCAAATTTGGGTTGCCTCTTTGGTTTCCGAAAACTTTTAGCTGGGAAATTATGAACGACATAATTTTTTTGCATGTTTTAAGCACACATATTCATCAAGTAGCCAGGGGAAAGCAAAGAAATTGTTTCAAAAGAATTGTGATTTCTCAAACCTATACAGTGATAATGGAAAGAATTAATTCATGTGTCCGATTATTCGCTTTGATGAGATATTTTTGCTGAAACTGAAGATCCAAGCGTTGTAACGATGAAGAGAGTATGAGAGAGGTGATTGCCGAATCTATAGAGAGATGTGCAGATCGCAAACCTAGAGAGAGAACAAGAGAGGGGGAGAGGATGAAAGAGTAAAAATTTGGATTATAAGGGATAATTATGAACCGTTAGATTTAATTCTAATTTAACGGTAATGAGATTGATTGTAAGGGTGGTAAGCTTACCTGGTGGTAACTATAACCGTCCCCTTAAATATAAAGCAAAACATTAAATTACAATAGCTTTCAGCAGTCAAGTAACACGTTCTCTTTCCAAGAAATTCTTAGGTGTATTTGTAGGGGAAATTCAACACGAGTTTCTAATTGAAATAATATTTATCAAATTTCCCTTCAACCAGTTAAATATAATATTCAACCGATGAGCATTTTGTAACATGAAAATGGCAAAAAAATAATTTTTTTTCTCTTGTTTTGAGGGTTGTGAAATATTTCAAACTAGTATAAGATCATCCAAGATTAATTAAAAATAGGGAATAACATTTTTGCGCAGAAAAAAATTCTGCCACAGAGAGTAAATCAAGGAAAGAGAAATTCATAAGGAGAGAAAAACCGATTAAAAGATGGACCCACTCTTGATTTACTCTCTGTGGTAGATTTTTTTTTCTACCACAGATGCAGAAATGTTATTCCCTTCAAAATAATACTACTCACATATTTACTGTTAGGATTGTAACCCGAAGAAGAAAAGAGAATTAAGAAGAAATCAAGGAAACTTGAGATTATTCATTACTGACTTGCTTTGACATCGGGTTTCTTATTTATACTATATATGCATTCCCTATTACTTACATTTAAACCAACTGCATTACTAATAACCTTTTTAATGATACAAGTAACATATTAACAATATGTTATGGACTGGATCCATATTTCAACAACTTATCCAATAAAGGATAAGGCTTATCCAAATAATATCCCAAATAACAAAGGATTAAGGAATCACACTTCTATTAGGACTCTAAACCTACAGGTAACACTTTCTATAAATAAAGGGTTGAAGCCTCCCAGGTACACACTTTTGAACCTAATTACTATTACTGCCAACACTGAGCACACACCCACAACTCGGCTATAAGCCTATTGATTGTGCGCAGTTATTGGTACATTAGTCTTGTGCCAATTGGATCTCTCTCACAAATATCTCTTAGTGCATACCTTTACGATAATATTCACGGTATACCTAGGATCAAACATTGGCACAGTCTGTGGAAAACCGTAAATTTCAATTCCCACTCCACGATGACAAACACGCGTGGAACAACAGGCAATACTCAACCCCTGCCACAACATCAGTCTGCGATTGACCACCTCCAGGATCTCGGCAATCCAATACTGGTGGAGGTTGCCCAAATCGAGTTGCGTAATGTTGAAAGACCTAGGCCCATCAAGAACAAGGGCGGCTGGATCAAACCAGATATTGTGCCTTCCATGATGGTGATGGTCATACTACGGGTGAATGTTGGGACCTCTGAGACGTTATTGAAAAGCACATTAGAGAGGGGAAGTTGAAGCAATACTTCATCTGCACTCAAGGAAAGAAAAATAACAAGCGCAAACAGCAAAGTCGTAGCAAGAAAGGGAAGACAGGAGCACCAGAGATAAAGATCACATTGGCAAAAGCAAAAGGTCGAGACTAAAGCTGACAAATATCAAAATGCCGAGTACGAATGCAACGTAATAAGTGGAGCACTCGAAGGCGGCGGTGATACTGC